GGCATGTAACATGGTGTCTACTGTATGTCATTCCTGATGCACAGAATTATCTTTAAGGTGTTCCTAATGAGAAATTCATCACGACTTGGCTACATCAGTGCCTGTCAGGGACTGCCAAATGAAGGAGGGGATTAATCAGTACAGCTTTGCTCCAGGTTGTTGGAGGCATTTTAGTGCTGGCAACCTAAAAATTTCTACGTGCTTAGGTTTGAAAAGCAGGGCAGTAGTTGGGTTTTCAGAAAAGGAGGATTGCAGTTTGCAAGAGATAATCAAGTGACCAAATGCCTATTCTTTCTACCTGTTCTGTCCCTGGAGCTTGAACATGGGATATGTATTAGACTTTTCATTTTCACCCCACTATTATTATATACTTAGACCAAATAGGTCCAGTTCAAGAACTGTTACTTTACTGAGCAGAGGGCAACCTCCTTTCAGCCTTCTAAGTATATCTCTGACACTAGCCACTTTTTGCTGCCTCTTAGGAGGGTCTTTACCTAAGTTTCTTACCTATTATCAAAGGTGGGATGTGTATTGCAGGTGTATCTTTTCTTCTGGGCTTTTTCTGCTCCAGTCCAGTGATTTGAGAGACTGGAGACACTCTCTGTGACTTCTCTGGGATACCATACCTTTTCAGCAGATTTTCAGATGAGTCTGAAACTATGCCTGTAAGCAAGCAATAAAGAAAATGCTACTTTAGCCTGCTTATATTGAAGAAACTTCCACCTGTGTAGCTCTCCCAAAGACTACTCTGAAGTAGAGTGGCACAACTGCATGATCTGCTGTATGATGTACCTACCCTACATTTCTTTCAAATTAATTATTTCCCATAGGCTCTAGAAAATGATGCTATCAGGCCAGCTGGCTTCTGATTATACATAATGCACTAAAAATTGTGGGACAGATGAGTGTAATCTCCTATTCCAGAACTTCAGACATCTTACCACAGTAACTTAATCACACGGACGTTCAAGAGGTTAGTTGGGAGCAATATGACCACACAGAAGAGGGTAGTGAAAAAATGTTTTCTTTATGATATGACAATTGCAGGAAGTAAACACAGCTCTCCAGCCTCTGAGCTGCTCTTCCTAAGAGAGAATTGCTGAATGCTCAATGAGAGAAATGTGAAAACAGAACAGAATCAAATATCTGGATTACAAATACTGGAAAATCCCAGTGCTTATTTTTGGCTTGGTGAATTGTTGCAGATATACAGAGAAGCATACAAGTAGTTACTGGCTAACTCTTCCATGTATGTGCAGCCTGGGAAGAAGAATTCAATAATGTAAGAGCACAGCTCTCTTGATGGAAATTATAACACTGCTTGTTAGCTGAGAGTGACAAACATTCATTCCCACTGCTGGTTTTGGATCATTAGGTTTCAGTAGCAGTCTCCTGCTTATTCTTCCCTTCTCCAGGTTGGTGGCATTTGGGTCTCAAATATCTGTATTTGTGCCACAGTAGGGAGCATTCCACAAGAAGCCCCTTCATTGCTGTGATGTTTTCTGCTTCCTGAAACAACTACCCTTTGCCAGAGTCCCCATAAACACATGATCCCTGCGATTTCCAGGAGAACCATCCTGCAGGTGGCTTGTGTGCTTGACTGGTCTACTCCCAGTGTCAGTGCCAGCCTCCCACTGTGCACTGGATGCAAGTTTCATGGGAAAGTGCAAGGGCTGGACTGGATCCTTTTTTTGATTTTGGACCATATCCAATTGGGACATCTATTAGGCTCAGCAGCTGCCAATACATAGACATAGTATCACGCAGTAATGTAACATTATTTATCAGCAAGTCTGTGAGATCCATGGAAGCAGGTTTTTCAGAGCATAAACCTATCCACCTTGGTATTCCCAGAAGTGAGACCAAACCCTTCAACTAACATGGGATATCTTTGAGAAAGACAGACTTTTTTGTTCACCTGTCTTCCCAGGTGCACATGCAGGAAGCTGTGTTCCTGTTTGCATCCAAGGGGACATAACTGTTTGAACGTTCCATGGACGTTAATCCTTCTCCAGTCCCCAGACATGAATTGGGATTTCAAAGTCAAGAGATTTACTGCTCACATGTTAGAGGTGGTGGAGTGGGCAAAGCGGGTGTATCTTTTCTCTTCGGCTTCTTTTGCTCCTGTTCAGTCTTCTGAGAGGCTGTGAGAATTTTACCTTTTCTTGGTTTATTTTTGAGGTCACAGCTCTTAATCAGCTGCTCTGAAAGATCTTCTGCAGGGAAAAAATATGGAAATTAAAACTTAGGAGAGGTAAAAAACAAAAGGTGGAAAGAATCACTTTGATAATAGTGCTTTAATTCAAATGCCCAGGAAGAAAAATCTCTTACATATTTAGAAAGCAAACAAAAGAGGGCTCTGTGCCATACTACATGGGAGTCAAGTGACTTAGGAAGTCCTTCTGTGTTGTTGGCAGTACCCATTAAACAAAGAGAGAGAGTTGTGGGCAGCTTGCGTGTTTGCACGTCAGAGGAGAGGCTGCATCATTGTGTGCAGAGGTTCCATAGCCATCCCTGTTTCATCCAGTGGTAACTGTGTGGATTGTATCCTCAAGATTTACAAGGCCAGTTCTGTGAAGTAAAGTTTTATACGTATATAGGGTCTTTTATACATATATAGGGTCGGTCTATTTGTAAAATGAGCCAATCAGTATATTGTTCCCTTCAAGAGTTACCTTTATTTCCAGAGCTAATGAGCAATTGGTATTTGCTTTTTATTTACATAACATGACACTGGATTTTTGGTTTTCCTTTAAAACAATCCTTTACTCAGATCACCCAGAAGGTCAACATGACTTTTTTTGCAAGGGTCTGTATTTCTGGGTGCTTAGGCAAGCTGAAAATACAGAAGATAGCTTGTTGTGGTAGTACATCCCTCTCCCTCAGCTTCTCTTTAGGCCTGGTCTACAATCTCAGCAGCTTCTGATAAGCCTTAGTTAAATCAGCTGAGTGATGAGGTGCCCCTTAACTGTGCCAGTTGGGCGCTGAAGCATCTATGACCATCCTGGGTGCTCTTGGTATGTATGGAACTGACCATACCAGGAACATGAGCAGTCCAACCAAAGTAAGAGCAAAGGATAAGCAGTCATTCTTATTAGCTTTGGTAAGTCATTTACCCAACTGAAATGATACCATTGTTATGAGACTTTTTGAAAAAATTAATCATAGCCTGCGTGTAATAGTCCTATTTTTACTGGAATTTTTTGGAAAAATCATCTTATAGTGCTACAAACAGCAGTGTAGCAGCAAGGAGAGCTGTTTGAGCTCTCCTTGAACACAGTGGGCCTCTAAGTAGGATGCCTCTTGGAGCTTGCAGACCCTCAAGTTTGCAATACTTGAAAGACTGTTGCTGATAACAAGGTCTAGGCAGATACCATCCCCACGCATACATTCTCCTTGAGGTGCAGCCCAGGCTGGTTGAGAAACACTAAGGGATTTGATATGAGTACTGCACTGAGCCTGACACGAATTTTTGATAGATACCTTTACATTTGCTAATATAGATGTATACATCTTTTTTCATGTGTTCATGCAAGTGAATAGATCATGGTATGAATGTTGTTATTTTGAGTATATAATTAACTCACTGTTATAATTGTAGCAAATCCTATTGAATTATTTTTTCAAATAAGTAATTAGTCAATGATTAAGTGCTTTTGCACCCTTTTCTTACATCCATATCCTCTACACCCTTACCCTCTTGCATCCCCAGTCTTCATGTAAATCATTCCAAGTTGCTTCTAATCCAATTTACTTATGTATGCTTTGTCTACATAGTAAGTAGTAGAATGAACTTTGCCACTTGACTCTGTTAAAGCTGCATTCTCATGAGTTCCTATGAAACCCTGCTTTTTGCCAATAACCTTGACGATGATTCTTTAAGCATTTTAACCACTCATTTGTGAACCTGTCATTAGTATCATCACAGAAACCAATATTTTGAATTCTTAAAAGCAGCTTGTTTGCCTTCAGCTGGGCTCCCCACATCGTTACCCAGTCCCTGGCTGCAGACCTTCATGCAAGCACAACTTCATTGCAGGCTCTTTCACACTATTTAAGGCAGCTGTTATCTCTGTGAGCCTGCAGGTAGATGTGGGAAGGACGGCCTCTGGGTTAAGTCCCTGGAGATGTGGCGTTTCTTTCTGACCTTCACAGGCTTTCTTCATAGTCCTAAGGAGATCATTTACCCTCCCATTGCCTCTGTTTTCCAACAGTATAATGAAACTCATTCTGTATATATTTAAATAAGCAATTTTGTGGACCAACTATGGTATACTAGCAGTTGTAAAAACAGTGTCTGTGGCTAGAAATGCCATGCAACAGAGACAGAACTAGGATACCTTCCTTGCAGTACTAATAAACAAAATTTGTAAAACCTGTGGTGAGACTTTTCTTTTACAAGGAGGTGAAATTGCATTTGTCTTTCATTATTGTTGTCACAAAGGTAACAACAAGCAAACAGATTTTTCTTTCTGGGTTGCTAAATCTTCAGGACAATTTTGTAAGATAAGAGTGAAATCATAGCACTAGAAGCAGAGGTAAAGACCATGAATAAGCAAAAAGTTTATCTATCAAGCATGAAATCTAGTATTCTGGAGTGTGACAGAGCAAAGACAATTCTAGTATGCTCATTGTGAAAGCTGTAAGAAGTAGTTTCAAGAAAGGAAACTGATGAGGAAGGAGAAAACTGTGGGAAAGAGTGAAGGAAAGATGATTTTCACAAAGCTGGAAAAGCAGGCCTGAGAAGGAGAAAGAGCAGAGAAACTTGGAACTAGCTACAGCTGCAAAGTCTGAAGGTAGAAAAAATTATAATAGTACAGCAAGCAAGGACATGAAACAATAGCTTGAGTTTTAGGCTTGGCTAAGATAGACCTTGGACTACAGAAAATTATGCTTACCAAGATAGTTGACAGTTTTAAGCTTAATAATGGTGTATGGCGTATTGTTAATAGAAAGGAGACAAGCAAGCATTCTGTGAAGCAGGTGTACGTGTACTTTTAGTAATTGGCTAAAACAATTGTCTGTAAGCTTTAGCAATACACTATTGGCTAGGCAGTATTTTAAATGCTCTGTAACAAAGATGTCTTTGGCTGTTGCTGGCAGTACATTGCTGGCAGAGCTTTTGCCATCTTTCTATTGTCTCAACCATGTAATGAGGCTGCAATAAAAGCTCAAGGAATGTTTCCCAACAGTCCCATTCCATTTGTGAAAAGAAAAAAACTTCCCAACACAGAAAACATTTTTAGAAAGCTGTCTCAGTGATGGCAAATTGAATGCTTGAAATCTTTTACTCAAATTGCATATGGAAGATATATTCAGGGAAAGCTCAGCTATATCCTAACTTTCCATTTACTGAGGTATAAATGAAGAAACTGCTCTACCAGGGAAATGATCAATGACTCTTTTTCCTTTCTCCTCATTAATTAACTTCACTCTAGAGATTCAGCTGACATTTATATGCAGAAAAAATGCTCTTTGTCTTTCCATCTGGCACTAGAAGTGTCAGCAGAAGGTGTAATCTATCTGTTTTCATGGGAGGTTAGTTGTATTGCTGGACTTTATTATGTGAAGACAATAACCCTCATTAGAGCAATGATATCATCAAATAACACTTACCTAAATGGTTACACTGTGAATCTTGCTTGTCCAGTCTGTCATCTGGGATATCAAGTGGCTGAACACATTCTGTTGACATCATTGAAACAGTCTTTTCTCCTCCTATGAAGATACTACACCACATCAATGAAAAAAATTAAAGAAATTCAGCAGCATGACATAAAACAAACATATTGGCATTACCTAACAACTGATGAAGAGTTCTTGTCTTCCAGCAGTTGGCTGCCCTGATTTTTCACTCACACATGCTGCGATTCACTGTCTTGGTTACACACACAGTAATCTGTTTCTCCACTTTCCTTGCTGTAAGCAACCCACACTAGCATAGATTACCTCTACAGAAAAACATACTTTTTTTTTGAGCACACTGAAAGTGCTATCTCATACACAAAGTAAATGCTAAGGAAGAGGGTCTTTTGTTTTGGTTTGCTTCTCCACTTTTTCTCAACAGTAAACTAAGGATCATATTTGCTATTTATTATACGAACTAACTTAAATAATTAATTCTGTTGACTTGGTCTTTTAAGTCCAGCTTCACTAAGATACCTTACATACCAGAAAAATCAGATGTAAAGTGCCAGTGCTCACAAATCCCAAAGCCATGATGAAGTAAACTTACTCATCACTTTAGTAAGACCATGGGAAGCCATTTCATATAGCTATTTAAGTGTCCATGCTCTGTAAGTCTCACTGGATTGCTGTTTGGGCTATTTTGTCTCCCTTTACTTATAGCTGCAGTGGGTGTAGAAAGTGCATCCTCACCCATCCTCCTACCTGAGCTTCCTCAGCACCTTGCAAGCTGAGACTTGATCCTGGGGCTGCCACAGATGCCACCATAGAAAGAAGAAAATTAGACCATTTTCCACTGCTGATCATTTCTATTATTGCTTAGCAGAAACTCCTCAGAATGACAAAGGCAATGTTAAAGGGAAACAACCTTCCACCTGAAGGTGCAGTCCAAGTGATCTAGCAACAATTGTGGTAGTTTTTCATTCATAACCTCCCTTCTCCATTTTCAGGGAATAAGAGCAGAGTATGACTTCCTTGTAAGGAGAAGAAATGCAATGAAGAAAAGAAAAAAACTGGAGACATTATGAATAGAAGATGAAGGAAGTAATTGAGAAAAAAAAAGAGGAAGGGGAGGTATAGAAGACAAGGTAAATAAAAGAGAAAAGTAAGAAAAGAGGCAGCTGCAGAATAACAGTGAAAAGGAGGATGGGAAAATAGGAGACTAAACTCTGGGAGTTTGGTTTTATCTTGCTGGAGGAAAAGAAATTACTTATTATTCTTATTATTCTCTTGTCGGTTGTTTACTGACAAGAGACAGAACAGTAGGGGAGTTAATCTCATTTCCATGACTAAACTTGCATCTATGTAAAGAACAATTAACCCTTGAACAAAGTATTTGCAAAAGAAGGTAAGAAAGGTTGCACTGATGTAGTTCTTCAGTGGATGGAACACATGTCTTAAATGACAGTTTCTTACAAATAAATAGAGTAACACTGCTGTTATGATTCTATGTCGTGGTTTAGTTAAGCCCTTGCCTTTTGCCCAGGCCTCTAACAGCAGGCAGTGGCTTTATTGAGGTAGCCAGCACCCCAAAGCTCACACTCATTAACAAGTTCTTTAATATAGGCTGATTCAGTCTATTATAGAATGAATTATTTATTTAATAGACAGAAAACTAACAGATGTAAGATTTAAAACAAATTAATACTATACAGGAATAAAGAAAAAGAAAAAAGACTACTAGTAGACATATACAGAGCAAGGTTAAAGGTACCTATAAATGTTACAGATAGCAAAGAAATAACATAACTTAGGATTCAATGTATCTTACCATCCATTTGGTGATGGGGCACACATCATGATCCTTTCCCTCAATCCTCAGGGAAGTAACTGCAGATTGGAGTCCATAGTCCAGGGAGAAATCTCCCAAAATTTCAGGGTGTGTGTGTAGAAGTCTTCTACCTCTGTGATAACTCATATGTCTTTTACAGTTAGTAAAACACTGTCTCTCAGCTAAGAATATTTCCTTTATCTCTTCCCACATCTGCTCTCTAGACTAAGATGCTGATTCTTAGCTGAGGTCTGAGAACTTTTGGGACCAGAAATGACCTCTTGCTGGGCCTTTCAGCCCTTAGGTTACCTCTTTATAGACCAAATGTCAGTGGTAGAGAGGAGAGTGGGATGGATGTCCTGTCACAACTGGCTGGCAGCATCAAATTTGACTCAACTCATGTCAACATCAAAAGTTAACATTGACTGATATTGTACATATGGAATGAATTCCCTTATGTTTCACTATTTAATTTGTAATATTCTACAAATTATTAAGATCTTACTGAATCAGGCCTTGATGAGGGATTTCACCTTCAAATGTTCACTATAGAAATGTCCCAGTCCAGCCTCACATCTGTACTAAAGTGTTATACTGGCTGAAGGCTCATTTGCCTTCACGACAAGAAAAATCTGTCACTTAGGAAGACTCTAGAGGAAGAAATCTTTGAAGGCACCTTGAATGGTTGCTTGATTTATTTACTGTATAAGTAAGCTACAGCTGTGGTTTAAAATAAAGCAGACATAATTTTATTTAATACAAAACTTATCTGTCCTTCGGAAGGCTTGCACTATATTTTGTGATTTGAGGGTGTTTTATTCTTTTGATGCCATTTGATTTTACTGGATTTGATTAGGGCATGCTGGCTAAATATTATGACTGTAGGTAAAATGTTATTTTCAGAATAATACTCTGTTTACAAGGTTTTCAGTGAAATCAGGGATATTATTTCAGACACTATGGACATTTTTGTTTTTAACATGTCTTGAGGCAGAAAAGACTGGGGATAGATAGCAAAATTTAAATGTAAGATTGGTAGTAAATTATATTTAGTGGAAATAGCTTATAAAATATTGTTAGGTTAGGTTAGATTTCAGTAAGTTGTTTCATTGAATTATTACACCCAATAAAAATTAAGCTTTGTAAAGAGACTTAATATAGGATTGCTTCATTATTTTTTCTTATTATGGTAGTTTGGAAAATATTATCTAAAATGCATCTCTTAGGTCTGTGTTTATATTTTCACTGTCACACATGCCAAGCGCTTGGCATCTTCAGTGCTTTAAAATTCTGGTTTACAGGCTAATTTATGACACTTTCCTTCCATTTCTTTTGTAAATCTGCCCTGAAGTCAGCATTGCCTTGCTTACTAAGCAAGCACTGCACTTTGTGACAGTCTGTGTGACAAAAGAATAAAAAAATAAAAATTGCCAAAATAAATAATGGATTTTGGTATCTTGGGTGTATATACATTGTGTCTGACGTGTGAACCTGTGAGCGCTGTTACCTCCTGTCATCATGGATTACACACAGAGCTCTCCTTCAAAGGAAAGTTGCTGCATGTGACCATTGTTATGGTGCTTTCCCAAACAACTCAAATCAGTGCCTGCCACTAAGGAAACAGATTTATTTTATGTGGGTAACATTTTATGTGGGAAGGGAGCCTGCTATAGGGGCTGCATGAAGCCATAAATATGGCTTTACAAATTGTAGCATGTTCTCAGATTTTCATGCATTAAGTGCAACACTTTTCTTAGCAGCCTTCACATTAGTGTGGTTTGCACTCCCTGCTGCCATCAGTCACCTTGGTAGCAAATGCCATTCATGTGATGAAGTAAAGTGTTTTTTTCTTGCACCCTGTTATGTCTCTTGACATAATGATCCACATTTATCCTTTGTGCATCTGTAATGGTTACATTGGTGGGCTACTTCACACACAATAGAAGATGCTTCCTGAGAAACTGTAGGTTTTCCAATATGATTTAGGATTCAGTTGTCATTTAGCCAGAGACTTTGGTACAGTGCAGCTAGGCTGTACCACCTTCTTCGGAGATATGTGCCTAAATGAGTCACTTCAAGTCTCTTATTTCTTGGAAAAGAGAGAGCTGATAAGGACAGCTGAAATGCTTTGCTTAAAGCTGAGGCAAGTTCTAGTTTTGCCTGCATAGTTTTGCTTGTTAAAACTTTTGGCATGAGATTGGATTGGCTGTACTTACAGACAGGATGATAAGGCAGACTGAAAAGTCCAAGTATTACTAAAAGCTGCTTCAGCCTCATGTCAATGAAATCTCATGCTACATCACTGTCATATAACAGCATGACTCCCTTAGGCATACACCCTTGTAAGATACGGTGATTCAGATGAAAAATATCTGAACTTTTCACTTTCTGGATATCAGACTTTTGGATTTTTAGATAGGTTAAAGCATGTACTAAATTTTTTTCAAAATTCTCAGTTGTTGTACCCACTAGATTAAAGTGCCCAAATAAAGCTATCTTATCACTCACTAACATAGTTCTAAAGCACACAAATATTTGCAAGTATATGATTACTTTCTTTGCTTAAATTTTTGGTTTCCATAACAAAATTCACTAATGCAACCAGTTCCAGGCTTCAATTGGGTAAAAATATTTTGCCAGATACAGATAAAGATACCTGTTTTAGTTAACTATTTTAAACACAGTTGGTTTAATGTAGATGTGTGTCACAAGTAATCAGCTTAGAGTTTAGGGAATACTCAGCACAGCTACTCCCACAAATTTATAAGATTATGTAAGTCTTTCAAGGCCATCTGATAATGTGACATTTAAACTGACTTAAAATGAAATCTCATGAGAAAAAAACTCACCTTGTAAGATAGAAAACTAAAGCTTTGAGAACAAAACTGAAGACCTGGGCTTATTTTTCATTTGATCTTGAATTAGTCATGGAAACGGCTTGGGGGGAAAATCTCCATTTCTCTTAGGGTTTGAAGGGTTGTAGGGGCTATGCAACTGTGTGGATATTAGGTACTATGGATAGTTGTATGTAATCTGAAGGGACAATAGGGACAATGCAGTTCTCAAATGAGTCACCCATAGGTGATCATTCTTACCTATAAGATGGAGAAATGAAGTTAAGATATGGAATTCTTATAAAAGTTTACAGGGGTTACGTGGGCATTAAAGTCAGTCCTCCTTATCATTGTACATTAAGGCTCATTATTTCTTTGTATATTGAATACTTAGAATTCATGAACTGGCCTTTTATAAAGTATCCACAACCTGTGCCTCTGAAGATTTCAGTAGACCATGTGGTGTATGTGGTATTGTATGTGTTTTGGGGTTGTTTTTTTTTTTCTCTTGTTCAGGAGAGTGTTTTGTTTCTACAAATGACAATATCCTGAAGAAAAATGCACTAATCTCCAGGGCATGCATAATTATTAAAGCAACCACGGGCACGTTGACAAGGATGCAGGATAAATAAAAGTACTTTTGAGAGCATCCTTGTTGGGTGACAGCAGTCAACCTGAATTTAATAACTTCATTTTGATAGTTGGTAATAACATTGCCACAGAAGCCTGTTTGGCCCTATGTATTTATCTTCTGAAGCCAGAGCAATTCCTAAGAAGAATAGAGGGAAGCAGAGGCAGAAACAGAGGCAACTAAGGTCCTAGGGTGGTACAGTGTGCACACTTGTTTGTCCTCATTCTCATAGGCAGAGCCTGACCTTGCTGCTCCTGATGTACTCAATAGCTGGAAATGAAAGTAAACAGGGAGTATCTCATAGGCTGCTGCCCAATGCAGGCATAAGGCAGAGGCTGGACTTCATTAGTTACAGTCCAGACTGGACAAAAAGCAGCATTTTGCTGCCCTGCCCAAAGAACTGCTCTGGCATGGGGGTTTACTTTTTAAGACTGGTGCCTCCTCTCCCACCAAACATGTACGTACAGTTTCCTGGGGGAGTTGATTATTATATCATTTTAAATTGGTTTTCCCCTTTCTGTCTGGTTGCAATGAGCACATAAGCAAGGAGGGACAGGCAGGCTCCCAGCATCCTTACCTGCTCCTTTATCCCTGCAACCTTAAACGTATGTGGGAGGCAAAGAGCAAGACCTGTCATTCCTTCTGTAGCATGTCCCCTGTGGAGGGCCCTATAATGTGAGTAGGCTCCTTATTTGTTTGAAGTCATTTACAAATGCAGAAAGAATGAATAAGATATTGGATGAAGCCATCTTGCACACATCTGCCCTATTCAGAAATAATGTGAAACAGGACATGGGGAATGATACAACATCTGGCTGCATTTGGCTTCTTCCATCTGTACTCAGCAGGCAGCCTTGGTACCTTTATCAAAAAGTATGCACCTTCACCCATACCCCATCCTATCTCAGCCCATTACAACTATTTCCTGGTAAACCATCTGAATAAAGCAAGATTACAAGTCAGAGGAGAAAATAAATGTCCTACAAGTTGAAATTCTCAGTGTTGCTGCTCCAAACCTTTAATTACAGGTTTTACTATATGCTTAACATTATTCTATTGGAGTGATGCCTTCCTTCATGTTAATGCACAAACTTTCTTCTTCAGTCACTTGGGCACTAGGCTGCTCTCCACAGGCACCCTGTTAGATTATTCACTTTTATAAAGCATATTTAAATCTTCTTAGCAAACACTTTGATATTTGAAAGCCTGATCTGAGTGTCTCCCTCTATCCAAAACTTTTGCTACTAACACTAGCATGGGTGAAGTACCACAGAATTGTCTTGGAGCAGTTTCTTCTCATAGACAGTGTGCTTCTGGGTGCTATTTCAAAAATTGTGGCTGGGTGGTAGACTAATTCCCATTACTAGCTTGTAAAATAAGCTCTTAAAATAAAAACATTTATTTGTTTGTTTGAAAAAATGTAAGATACATATGCACAAGTTCTGGTTACAAGTCTTTGTCTTTGGAGATCATAAAAAATACAGTCTTCCCCAATTTTTTCCTTGAGGTACAAATTAACCCCTTGCACATGCCAGACTTAGTAGTGAGATAAGAAGTGCTTAATACTAGCTTCCACTTTGCTGACTTACAAATTTGGTTGTGAACTGTCCCACCAGTTAGTGCTTTAGTTTGCTCTAAAACCCTCTCCTCCCCATTTCCCTATCTACAAATCCCAGACTCAGTAGGTCATACCTCAACTTTCCCCACATAGGACCATCCCCAGCCCATTCCCTTGGGGATCCTGTGCTTTCCTGCTCATCCCCAGAGGTGATAAGGCAACTTGCTGGTGGAGGCTGCTAAAAAAACCCAAACAAAACAAAAACCCAAAACCACAAACAAACAAATCCACACACCCCCTGAAAAAGAAAAAAAAAAAAAAAAAAAAGGAAATCAAGAAGCCAACCAGCTGGGAGAAAAACACGTTGCTGAAGTACTTACTGAGCCGTGTGAGGGGAGGGTGCAGTTTGCCGTTGGGGCTCACTGGAGGATCTTTCTCCAGCCCAGTATTGGGGCTGCAGCTGATGCTCTTGCCTGTCTTATCTACGAACAAATGGAAGCTGTCTCTGTGGCAAGGCCGCACTTGGGCGTCCTCCTGGAGGCTAGGCAGCAGCAGCACCACTCCCTGCCCCACCAGCAGATTTTAATCCTGTTTCCTTCCTCCTCCGCAAGTTGCAGGGGCCAAAGGAAAGGCAACAAGATGCGTGGGAGACCAGCAGTGCCTCAAGGCTGAGGTATCATTCCTGCCAGATGACCAAGAGCCACAGATGATGATGCTCTCAAAGAAGAAAGAGAGGATGTGAAAGCTTTGGCACAGAGAGCCAAAAGGTGAGCTGCATCTGCTGGGTCTAGAGCTGCAAGAAAATCACAAGGGCAGGGAGTAAGGCTGATGCCGTCAGGGTCCCAGGGGAAAGTTGAGAAAAAAAGTGGAGCAAGAAGGCAGGGCACACATCCAGAGCAGTACTACAAGCACAGAAACTGATGGACACTGTCTCCAGCACTGAGATTCAGTGATGACTGCATTTTTTGTTTGTATATATATCTGGCACAACTGTTTACACAAGCATGGTGTTTATGGGGCTAGGCAGGGAGTCTTCTGTGGCTGCCAGTTGTTTGCCAGCAGAGACCAGTCTCTCCTATTTTAGCCCATGCCTTTGGATGGAACTGTTATTTCAGCTAAGAGAAAAACATGCCTGACATTGGAAAAGCTCTGGAAGAAATACTCTAATCTGTGGTGGGACTGTGAACTGCTCCTCTCTTAGTATTATTTGCAACAAAAATGCCTTTGTCCATAAAAACTATGGTGGCTCACAGTTGTCATTGTCTTATCTTCTTTTCCCCGCACTCAGTACTGCAATTCAAAAGTGCCGGTGTGCATGGCATACTTTCTTTCATAAACAGTATATTGTACAGAAAGCCCAAATAGGCAAACTGCTAATTGCCAGCCCAGCAAACTATGCTATGCCTATGGGTCCTTTAAGTATCATATGTGGTTCTACAAAATGCCAAGGATGTTAAATGCTCTAAAGGAACAACCTTAAAGAACTGTAAGCTTTCTTCATCAGTGCCTGGGAGAGACAAGTATGTTCATTTTCTTGCAAAGTGTAAGTCACCTGTGCTGATGTGTCTCAGTGGCCCATAAAGTTCATAAATGTTTAAATTATTCCTGAAAAAAATGGAGCAGAGGCTCCTAAGAATTTTTTTTGGGAAGAATAATATTTCTTAATTAAAAAAAAAAACCCAGAAAAACAAACAAACAAACAAAAAAAACCCCCAAAAAAACCCAAAAAAACAAAAACCAAAAAAACAAACCTCCAAGCTCCTCAAATCACACAAAGCCCAACCTTGCTTTTTATGAGTTGCCCACCTCCACCATTGTCCAGAACTCTCTGTTGCAGTGAATTTTAAATTAAAAACTGCCTAATTTTCACTGAAATGTATTTTACTTAAATACAATCATTTCTTATTTTTCTATGAAGTCAGAAAATCAAAATGAGGTGGATGAAACAAAGTGGTCAAATCAGGAATATATTTTGAAACTCAGCTGAAGATTGCCTTTTTATTGTCCTGATTGAAAAAGTCAGCCACTCATTTATAGCACTAAAGAATTCCCTGAGGACAAGAAAATAATTTCCTGTTCTGGGCACCAGATCCCAAGGTTGCTTTGGGAATGTTACAATATAGGTTTAGTCAGAAGGAAAGCAGCCTATCAGCTATCTCAGCAACATTACACATCCAACCCTGGTGACCTTTTAGGTTTGTTAGCTACCATAATGCCATGAGGCATTTAACTGCACCAGCAGATTTATCCCAGTCTCTACAGAATGTCTGTTGCTTTATCAGTGTGATGGAGGATTTACTGTCAGATGTGGTCTTTTAAATGTCTACAGTTGTTGTCCGACTTGTAGGAGGGTTGGGACTCCTGTCGTATTTCTAATCTTCTCTGTTCAGTTATTTCACAAACACAACCTGGAAAATAGTCTGAGTTTGTAATAAATCTGCGCTTTAATCCTATTCACATGTACACAAGTGCTCCCAATCTTGGGAAAAGTAGTTATTGGAGAACTACTAATGTAATTAAAGATAAGAACATGTCTGAAAGTTTCCAGGCTAATGCTTTAGAAGACAAGCAATGCAAAATGAAAGTAGGAGAAGATCTAACTAAAAATTACACACACACACGCATGCACACACACACACATATATACACACATGCACACATGTACATATATACATGCATGTATGTATATATAACTATAACCTTACTGTGCATTTGTTATTGGTCATGGGTGTGGAACAGAGCATCTGATGCTACCTGAAGAGGCTAGAATGAGTCTGCTGGAATGGAGAGAACCAAGAACACTAGAGATCACCGGGTAAGTCACATCACAGTACCTTCCCATACAAAAATTTGTCTCTAAAGAGTTAAAGGTGAGCATCATTATCAGTACCGGGAAGGCCTGTGGCCTTAAAGATGACATAGTTGTCACCTCTGTATGTTCCATATCTACTGCACATGGCTATGAAAATCTTACAAAATAGTATACTGCTAATCTTGTGTATGATCCAAGATACTGTGGCTCTGTGGGGGTTTGTTACATTAAGTTTACATTAAGGTAAGATTTTACTATCAACCCTGGCACTATTTTCAGATGAAACAAGAGATGATGATAAGGTGAAAGTGAAGTGCTATTTTATTTTAACAGATCTTAGGTGTCCAAAAACTGCTTGTGATTCAGCCTCAAGCTACTTCTCTGTGCAGTAGCATGTGGTTACATCCAATATAATACTTCAGGTAAGAAAACTCAGGGCTCACACTCTCCTGAAGTGCTTAAACCCACCTTCAGCCTGTGCTGTGTGAAGCAGTACATAAAGTTTGTTCCAGATTTATGCTAACTCATAAGCTGCTGCACGCATGTTCCCACCCAAAGTAAATGTATATGTGGAAAATCAGGGAATTGTATCTTGTAAGGAACAATTTATTAATTTAATCCCTTTATAAATGCTGCCATACATATAAAACAGACTAAAAAACCAGCTGATTAAATAAAACAGTTGCTTAAATCATTTACTTTGCAGCTGCAACAATTTGATCAATAGGTCAATGGGCTGTGCTGGATTTTTAATCAAACAGATTGCCTCCTGTACAGTGAAAACTTGTCTTTGGCAGTTTCCCTTTAAGTGGAGGTTAAAAGTGCAGAAGATCAAAACCTGCACTCAGTGCACCTCACTTTTCAGATTTACTATTATAAACTTCTGCATTTCCCCCTATATGTAATTGTATATCCATATGGGGACACAAGTTGCATTTTTCACAGACACAAACATAAAGATACGTCATATTTTTGAAAAAGAAGGCTTGATGAAAATCATTGCCACATCCTGAAAAGATGCATATTTGTCCCAGGTCCAAGAGGGAAATAATTTGTGTTTATTTTACTTCTGAGTAAAGCCTTTAAGGCTCTAACACTAAGGCTCAGAGGAGTCTGGGGTTTGTATCTATCCTGATGGATGACTATCATGGAAATATCTTTCCTACTGCCCCTAAAAAGATTAGGGGCATTACCAAGGAAACCTAAAAGTCTGGAAGACAGTAGCCCCATTTGGAGTGGCAAAGGAAATTTCTGCGTCAAGAATGAGAGTCATGCCCAGATTCCCTGTGCAAAGCCAAGGATAAAAAACTACCACACTAAGGAGAAAAAACTGACATGAAAATTAGTATAGTTTAACCTGTGCTTCACATTTAGACTAAAAATTTACATTTTCTGATGTATCTAGTTTACAACAAAGTCCTCCTTCTTGTTTCAGAAGAAGCAACCCAGGAGAAAACATGGAAAGAAAAAGATGTGGCTTTTCATGAGGGAGAAAGATTTTCAAGTTTGGTGCTTGTAAAGACTCCAGTGCACATTTTTCATTAATCTTTATGTCAGAGGGCTTTGGAAGAATTAATTTTAGAGAAAGACAGTTGTAAAATCCAGCAAACGGCAGATGGTAGTAAAAAATTATGTTCCAGGGAGACTTAGAACAAAGCAGTAGCAGATGACCTCTGACCCATGTAATTTGTGCTTTTCCTTATATCCATCAGTCTTATGCAGCATGGAGCAAGGTGAGAGCTGGGATGAAGTTAAAGCTAGCCTTTACCTCCTAGAGAAGTCTTTCTCCCTCCCTTTCCAGGGGCATTAGATCTGTAGAATTGCTCCTTTTCCTGGAGTTGCTGCTTCTCACTCTTAGCTCTTGCTCTGGTTAATTATGTGCTGAACAAGTGTCTTCCCATGTATGGATACAAAGGGGTTTGTCTGCTAAAACACTGTGGGCTTGTCAAGATTACATAACTTCCAACTCTATATCCAAGGATCTTTTCAAATACCATCAAAGTCCTCCTGCACTTAGAGCTTAAAATATTAGACAGCTTCTAAAACACCACTGTGTTCACTCTTCTTTTTAACCCCTTCCACATGGTATGCTTTATTTCATTAGACTGGGTACCTGGAAAAAAAAAAAAAAAAACAATTTCTCTGACTGGAAATTGCACATATGAATGTGAGAAACATCAGTGCCTACAACCTATGCCTATCTCTCAAATTAGAGACAGAGACTCACTGGTGAACTTAGGATGTCCCTCAGCCTTTTTGTGCCTTGCAGAAAGATGACAAGAGTTGTGGATGTCTGACACAGTCTCTGAACTTCCCTGGTAAAGAATATTTTTGCATGTGTTATCCAATAAACAATTTATTGAAAGAGGAATACACTAGACATGATTGAAACCACACCAAAACTCTATCAGCATAGAACATGAAACAAAGAATCAAGGAGCAGAGCGATCCACATAAATGGGTCTTCAAAGAAACACAGAGAAGGTGAATACTGCCTTCTCTCAAACTTCCCCGAGTTTCTAGTTTACTGCAAGCATCTTGAAAAATCCTTACTCACTCTCTGTTGTTAACATTACAGCAGCACCACAAACATTTTGGTAGTTACTGCCCTGTCATGCAATAAGACTGCATTGCTGTGCTGACCAACTTGCAGTTTGGGGGTGACCCAGGTCTTGAGAAGGATATATGGCTGATTTGTTTAGCATTGCTCAGTCAGTGGTAAGATGTAAGCTGCATCTTTGCATTTTTCAGCACTTCCCCTCTGTAGGAAGAGACGAGCATACCTTTCTATTCCCTGAGTATTTGGTTTTTCCCTTACAGCTTGAGAAAAAGACAGTCTGAAAAATGTAGTAGATGAAAAACAGTAATAGTTTAACTGTTGCTGGCTCGAGAATATAGAGGATGAGATTCAATGGAGCAGTCTTCTACATGGCCTTGTTACATCATTCTGGGTATCATCAGGGATTACTCTTAATCCTCACCTGGTCAACTGG